CTTACAAGTGCAATGAGTGTGACAAATCCTTTACCAGGGTATTCAGTCTTAAAATTCATCAGAGACGACATAGAGGAGAAAATCCTTACAAATGTAGTGACTGTGACAAATCCTTTGCTCGGAATGGCCATCTTAGAGCTCATCAGAGAACTCATACATTAGAGACACCTTACAAATGCAGTGAATGTGATAAATCCTTTACGCAAAGAGACCGTCTTACAGCTCACCAGAGAACGCATACAGGAGAGAAGCCTTACAAATGTATTGAATGTGACAAATCCTTTACCAGTGCCTCACAACTTAGACTTCATCAGAGAATTCATACGGGAGAGAGACCTTATAAATGTAGTGAATGTGACAAATCCTTTTTCCATAAACACAACCTCAGATCTCACCAGAGATTTCATACAGGAGAGAAACCTTACAAATGTGGTGAATGTGACAAATCCTTTCCCCGGAAAGACCATCTTAAAAGTCACCAGAAAATTCATACAAGAGAGAAATCTTAGAAATTTAGTCAGTTTGACAAATCTAGCAAGAAAGGCCATATTAGACCTCAGTAGAGAACTCATACAGTTGAGAAACCTTGCCAATGTAGGGAATGTGACAGATCTTTTATCAGTTGCTCAGATCATAGAAAACATTAGAGATTCTATACAGGAGAGAAACCCTTCATGTGTACTACATGTCAAAAATTCTTTATCAGTTCCCCCATGTCTTAGAAGACATTAGATTATTCATGCACAAGAAACCTTATCAATATATAAAATGTAAGAAACAGTGTCAGTTACTAGGCCCTCAAGCTGAATCCAGGTGGGCCCATGAAGAAGTACGTTATGTGCTTGCCTTGGTAACTTGTTTGAGCCAATTTCCTCGACCATAGGGCCTGCCCCACTACATATCTACCCTTTTTTTTATTACATGTGTGCTCAGCAGCAGAGTTCTATGCCCTGGCTGTCTTTACCTTGCCTTGGATGCTCAGCAGTTAGATTCTGCCTGTCTTAGATTGGCTTGCCAAACAAGCACTTACCTGTCTTTGACTATCAACCTTCAAAGAGTGTTCATCCCTGGGGAGTCTCCCCAAGTGGGGAGGATCAGTCAGCAGCCTTATCAATTTCAGAAAGCTAGGCATGCACAACC